GGTTGGGGGGAAGAAAGAAAATGGTGGCTGCTTGTTAGGCACAGATTTGCAAGACCAAAAAGGTTGTGGAAACCTGTTCCACAACAATATAAACATATTCAACACTACTGAACCATACATTTAAAAATTGTTAACAGTCTTCCCTGGTGGTCCAGTGATTAAGAAACCGCCTGCAGTGCAGAGGACACAAGTTTGATCCCCAGTCTGAGAAGATTCCATGTGTCTTGGAGCAACTAAGCCCACACGCCACAACTACTGAAGTCCACTCACCTATAGCTCATTCTCCACAAGAGAAGACACCTCAATGAGAAGCCCGCATATCGCAATGAAGACTTGCCCCTACTCACCACAAATAAAGTCACGAGAAGCAACAAAGATCCAACACAGCCAAAAATTAACTTTTAATAAAAAGGTTAAGGTGGCTAAGTTTTATATTTACATTATGTGCTTACAATAAAAAACATTTTACTTCAGTGATTTTAGGTACAAGAAAAATATACTATCAAATGAACTCAGAGTTGAAACAAATAAAAATATAAAACATTAGTATAAGGACTTCCCTGGCAGTCCAGTGGTCAATCATGCTCCCAATGCAGGACGCCCAGGTTCGATCCCTGGTCAGGGAACTAGATCCCACAGGCCACAACTAAAGATCTCCATGTCTCAGCGAAGATGGAAGATCCCACGGGCTGCAACTAAAACTCTGCACAGCCAAGTAAATTAATTAAAATTTTAAAAATTAGTGTAAGGCTTACATTATACAAATGGCTTTTAATTCAGCCACTGTCTAAAAAATAGTTTAAAATAACTCACTCCATGCTACATGTTCAAACTTCATTTTAGAAGATTCTTGCTATTTATGAATTGTTTACTCAGTCAAAAGACAAAGTATTTCTGCTTCAAGAATCAGAATTTCACAACTGAAAGAGATTCTTGAGATCACCTCCTGCACTAATTCCAATGTGGTCCTACAAACAATGCCAAAGTGAGACAAATAAAGAAAATGAAAGTTGTCGTTCATAAAGTTAAATCTATTTAATTTTAAGGCATATACTTTATTCTGAGAGCACATTCTTCCTACTTTGAACCTTTTTCTATTTAACGGTAATTTCATCCATTCAACAATACTCGTTGAGCCAGTAACTGTAAGGTGCAGGGCTACAGAGGTGACCAAGACCAGCAAGATTCTCGCCCTCAGGGAACCAACTACCTTGTAATGCAATACGAGAGTAACAATAGAAAGAAAAGGTAGGGATTGGTTTTTAAGACCGTAACATTCAAAACAAAAAGTTGGACAGCCTAAGTCAGTGGTACTATTCTCCAGCCCCTTTCTATTTTATAAATGAGAAACTGGATATCCAAAAGTTTCACAACTATTCAGTAAAAGCCAAAACCATTTCGATTCTAGAATTTAAAACATCAGGGAAATATTCATGTCCCTGAGTAGAGATGTGACCATGATTAATTTACAGGACACCAAATATGTCAGAGAGTAATATTTTTCCACTTATCTTGTCCTTCCAGTTCTAACAGTATTTGATTCTAACATATCAAACTTATTACACCATTTGAGGACTTAAAAGCTTAACAAAAAACTTAAAATCCTTAGAACTTAAGAAGTCTCCTGCTATCAAAAGTAAATTCTACATACTTCAAGATAAATGACAAAATAATAAGGCTCAACATTTATAACAAGGGGGAAAAAACTGACACAAAATTAGTACCTGCAGTAATACTGTCTGGTCACTGTTTCTGTGGCCTAGAAACAACAATAACTCTCTGGAGCATTGCTATCCCATTCACCAGAAGCTTCAGAAAGTTTAAACATACAAAGCAAATGAAAAACAAGCAGTGATAATCAGCTTATTAACATTTCAAAGAACAAAACTTGTAGTTCCAGTGAATACTCAAGGTTTCACAATATTCACAAGGGCTTCCCTTGTGGCTCAGCTGGTTAAAAAAATCCACCTGCAATGCCAGAGACCGGGGTTTGATCCCTGGGTTGGGAAGATCCCCTGGAGAAGGGAAAGGCTACCCACTCACGTATTCTGGCCTGGAGAATTCCATGGACTGTATAGCCCATGGGGTTGCAAAGAGTAGGACACAACTGAGCAACTTTCACTCACTCACAATATTTGAACTGACAGTTCAATCTCTCACTTCCGTATCTTTCTCTACCTCTCTGCAAGAGTAGGATACTAAGCCAGACAGCAGATCCACACACTTGTTCTCATGGGTTCAAAAGGCTTTTCCCCCTTAAAAATAAACTCACATAAAACACAGATTTGGAGAAACAAAACTTAAAGAAGGCATAACTATCCCCTTCTGTACATAGAGGAAATTTAGGCGAAAAGTTAAAATAACTTGCCTAGACAGCAAGTAGCAAAGTTAGGATTTGTACCATCCTAACTGCAAAGTTCATGGACCTTTTTTACCTCCCCACCTCCTCTCATTTTCTTCCTCTAAGTCTGTCATAAACACCTGCATGCAAGTCACTGGATAGGAAAGAATGAGGCAGAAGGAACACAAAAATGTACAAAAACTTAGTATTTACCCTAAGAATAATTTTATATAAAAACTGCACTACAAGAGTTAAAAGTGCCTATGATTAGAAGAAAGTATTCACTGAGGAGGGAGTTAGACCATACAGAATATATTTTAGGTAGAAGGAACTTCAGAGTGCAAAGGTGGGGAAAAGAGGAGGAAGTCACAAGGTATGTATGTTTGAAAAGACAAAAATATTAACCTGACTGAAATTATATCTAAGAGGGCAGTTGAATACAAAGCTGAAAAGGTAGGACTGGGTCAGACACTGAAGGACCTATTGAAACAAACTTCCTATTTAAAGCACCAAGAGAATTAAACTTAGTTTTAACATATCTGTTTATACTTATTAAGTAAGATTGCACATGCCCTGTTAATTGAATTAACTATGTTTCAGCTAAGAAGAAAGGGTCTAGGATAGAATCTGGTACAAAGATGAAAAATGTTGGATCTAAATTCAAATAACAGATTTTTCCCCCCATCTCTTGATAACCACAAGCTTATATCCAAAGAGATAAGGGGGAAAAAACTGAATCTACACCTATAATGCTGAAATTTTATGCCAGCTACTTAATTATAAAGGCAAAGTAGAACCCACAAATCTCTTCCATAGAATGATGGTAAAAAGATGTTTGAAGAAAAAGGAATAATTACCAAGCCTCAATATCAGAAAAATTCCTTTTTGAGTTGTCAAACTGGTTTTAAAAAAAAGGTTCTAGTGTAGCTTTAATAACATTTTTTAAAATCCAGGTTAGACTCTAGAAAATGTTCACTTAGACCACAACTGTCCTGAAGCTACTGATAAGAAGCAAGCACCTTCACTATTCAAAACTACCATTTCCCTCTTAGAGAGCTAAGTTCCCTCTATCTTGTAAAAAGGAGACCTACCAGATACTCAAGCGTTACCTGGATTATGACATCACTCTTTACTGCAGTTCTAGCAGGCCAGAATGGGCTGGCTTATGCTCTCTACATTACCACAGTAGCAATCCCCACCCCCAGAAAAGTTTATGTAAAAAGTTGTTACAGCAGCCCCATCTCCTCATTCCACGAACTATCAAAAGCTGTGAAGGCATTTAAAAAAAAAAAAAGCACTCCATACAAAAAAGAGAGGGAGAATGAGGTGGGATAGAACGCTGAAATCAAGCAAATTCTTGTATTTGTAAAATATGAGCAGAAAGAAAACTGTGACTCTAGCCCAAAGCTCTCATTTTACACGTTAAGAAACTGAGGTCCGGAGGCAGTTAACTGATTTACCCAGGGCAACTGCTTCTCTAAGGTTAAGTCTCCGTTACCAGTCAGCGTAGCACTTAATCACATTCGAACACTGTTACTTAAATGTCTGAGATTAAATTAAGTACCTGACGTGCAAAAAAAAAAAAACCTCTTCACCTTTTCTGCACCCTCCTCAGTGCTCTGCCCCAGAGTTACACAGAAAATGCTGATTCTTAGATAAATACTATTTCTCCCTTCAGACACTACAGTCGCAAAATTTCTCTTTTAAGTGAAAGCCTGAAACGACTGAATTTCTCAAATTCTGACTAAACAAGTGGATCAACAAAACCTCAGAAGTTTTGGAGAAATAAGAATGTTGAGTATTACTATTTTGGTTTTGCCGGTTGCCCTTTCCTTTATATTAAAGTTTTCAATCTAGGTGTGTTTTTGAAAAATAAATTTCAATCACTTCGATAATAATCACAAGTTATTACCATTTTTGAAACACGAATGTTAGACAACTTCATCTCTCAGAGATAACTTGGAAAATATCCTTCCCAGCACGAACTAATACTTCTCGAACAAAAACACCTAAAATCACTTTCTACCAAGCCACGATATAGTAAGCCAAAGAAAACGTAATCCCGTAAAAAACCCCACCAGCTAAAAAGCACTTAGTACCATCAATATGCCCTGGATCATCGTTTACCATCAAGCTGTCAAAGCATTAGAAGAACCTGGGGGGAAAGTTCCGCACCGAGTTCACCCGCTATACCATCTCCCACACCTAACACGTTTGGAGAAATGCAAACACGCCACATGTACATATTTAAACCACGTTTAACCAAGGTAGGTGTTTTGTCAGTTCTATTATCGAAAGCGTCACAAAAAAAAAAAATGTTTTTTAAAGGCAGCAGCATGCATGATTTCCCCTTTCCAAAAAAAAAAAAAAAAAAAAAGACAACAAAAACCCACCACCAGAAATGGTACAGAACTGACTTAAGGCGAATTAAACAGTTTTGAACATTGAGGCCGCCGTACAGGGCGGTTTAGAAGGTTCTGTCTCAAATGCCGGGCAAAAGTCCTCTGGCGAGTCTCAAAACTAAAGACCTTGCACTACCGCACAAATAACAAAAGCTTAATACAAAGTACCCGGCCGTCAAACCGTTCCTGTTACCATCGCCCAGAGTTTTGTTTTTTTTAAACCAGCACTGAAAAGGGAACAATAAAAAGCGTCTCACCGCAAACGCAGCACGAGAGGGACTGTCGGAAGTAAGGCAAGAGCCTGTTAATCTCTGTAAACGCCTTGGGGTCTCCGGGGTCGTAGTTGAGCACTAGGCGGCTCGCGGAAATGTAGAGAGCAGTAGCATTCACCGGGTTCATTGCAGACGCTTCGACACCGTTGGCTCCCGGGTGAAAAGAAATTCCGGATCCAACTTTGTAAGCAGCCAGGGAACAACGGCGAGTTTGTAACAATTTGGAGGAAATCGGGGCAGAACCACTGGCCAAAGTAGTAACCAAAATCCGTACAAGTTTGTGGAGCTGAAGCAATCCTCCCACACATGGGGCCCTGGCGCCCCTCCTCCGTCCCTGAGACTTGCAGACCGAGTAGGGGAAAAAAAAAGCGAGCGAGCGAGAAACCAGCGTTCGAGTTCGTCCCGGACGGCCGCGGGGCGCAGAACGCGGCGGAGGCGGCGCTCAGTCTAGCCCCGCGGCTCGGCGGGTGGCCTGCGCTCGAGCTGCATCCCTGGACGCGGAGGCACCTCCTGTGGTCGAGCTGGGCGGGCGCGGCAGCAGGCCCCGGCCCGGTCCGAGGGGCGGGCACGCTTCTCACGGGTTGCGGGGCCCTTACTCCATCACAGCGCCCGACGCGGAGGCAGCGGCGACGGCAAGGACGGCAGCGCGGGAGTCGGCTTCCTGGATCTAGTGCACCGAGCCGCGGCGGCGGCGAACGTTGCTGCTGCGGCTGGCGGAAACCGCCGCCGCTCTCTCCATATCGGACGCGGAGCCCGGAGCTGAGCCTGGCTCTCCGCCCCGGCGGTTAGAGCCCGGCTGTTCCCTGAGGTGGCGAAGCGGGTAGGGGAGGCCCCCGCCCGAGAGAGGAGGGCCGGGGAGGAAGTGCGCGGGCCGGCGGCGGCGGGAGGGGGCGGGGAGCAGGCCCGGCCGGGCCGCGGCGGCGCCCCTCGCTCCTCAGTCGCTCACTCCGAGGTCACCAGGCGCAAGCGCCGCCCCCTCACTGCCCGGCCATCTTCTCCGCGCCACACACACGGACGCCTCCTCCGCCAAGCACCACGGCCGCCACCGCCCACGACGCCCGGCCGGCCGCGGCTGAGGCGAGCGCTCACACCGACAGGCCCCGCCGCCGCCCAGCGCACACAGCAAGGCCCCGCCGCAGGCCCCTCCCCCCGTGCCTCGCCGCCCTCACCCCGACTCCACGCGCCACTCTAGCTCGGTAGGGCCTGGGCTGCTGCGGCCTTAATGGATCCCGCGGGCTGTGCGGCGCCTCAGGCCCTGCCGGCGACGACGACCGTTACCCCAACGGGCAAAGCCACTGTCATCCCCGAGACTCCCCCGCCGCCGTCGTCGCTAGTGCTCGCACGCATGCGCAGACCACATTCTCACCCCTCCCCCCGCCCTTTCCTTTCCCTTCGCTTCCCTTTTCCCCTGCTTCTCCTCTAAGAGCCCCCTCCACACCCTCCCGGAGCTACCGGCTTGCTCGGCGCATGCGCATTCCACTACCCAGCTCCGCCGCCTTTCGCCCTTACGCGTGCGCTTTGAGCGCCCACCCAGAAAACCGGATAAACACATCAACCCGCTCACACGAGCCCCTCCCCGCTGCCAACCCACCCTGAGCTCACTGCGCATGCCTGACTCTCCACTTTACTGCTCCCTGTACAGAGCGTGCTGCTGGTGAGCCGCCTGCTCTCCCCGCCCCTCCCCCATGCGCTCTCAAATTCCCTCTTAGGCGTGTGGACTGTGGTGAAACATTCGTTAGTTGACCCATCCTTCCCCAGTGTGGGCTGTAGGCTTCCCGCACTACACGGCTTCCTCGGTGTCCGCCAACGCGGAGCCCCGGCTGGGTCGCGCCATGTGACGCTCCGCCCTGGCCCCACGCGGCCTCTCCTCGCCCGGGCTGACCGCGAGGTGAGGAGAAAGCTCCGCACCGCCCCAAGCCCCGCCCTCGCGGCCTTTCTCCTGGAACCGAGCTTCCAGACGGCCGAAAGGGCGCTGCCGCCGCTCCCCTGCACCCGCCCGGCTCAGGAGGGAGGTGGCGAGCGACGTGGCTGCGCGCCCAGCGGGCGTTCGGGCGGCGTGGGCTCTTTTGGGGCCGCGGCCCGCGTCGACGCCACCCTGAGGCCTCCAAGGCCGGAGCAGGCCGTCTGAAGCGGTGGTGCCTGCACCCACCTCCTTCCCTGCCCGTCAGAGCGGGCTCTTTTCCTAGTGTTTGGAGAACGACGGACGTGAGCAGCCCAGCCTTCCAGGGCACCGAGCTCTCCACAGGAATCCAATTTAACAACAAAACGAATTTCTTTTTCTGTCCTTTAACAGACCTCACCCTCTGTATGAACAGATAAAGAACCCATGGTCCTGCTTTAGAACCCAAATCCTTGAAAGTATTACCTGTTTTTTAAAGTAAGTTTCGACCTGTTTTTGCAGGAGACCAAGGTCACTGAGATAAAAACAAAACGCTAATTTAATGTCTGACTCCCCTCCCCTACAAAAGAACAAAACCGTCTTTGAAAATAGAAACAGCGTAGGAGTTATTATCTCTGGATACACCAGAGCTCTTCAGCATAACTTTTTGCGCTTAGTAAATGCTCTAAACATGTCTGCAAACGAAGATTTATGACGTATGTAAATCTTTTCTGACACAAACACTTTTGTTTTAGAGGCTTGCCACTTTAATGTAGAAATGAAAAGTTAAGATACCAAGAGAACCCATATTACCTCTGATAAATTGTATTACCATTTGAGGACAGGTACATTTTCTTTGGAAGCACTAGCATACTATTAGTACGAAGTGTTAAAAAAAATAATCTATTTTCCTAATTTTGTGAAACAAAGCTGTGCAAAATGTATTTGGTCATCTTATCTAGAAAATGACAAATAGTTTATAAAATTCACTCTCTTCTAAAAGTCTGGTCTTCCTTTTTTCTTAAATAAATCTTTTCTAAGCTCACCTTCAAATGAAGCTGTTTTAATATACAGTTCTATTTTTATTCCAGACTCAAGTTCTTCTACAACACACAGGCTGTTCTTCCCCAGAGGAGCAACACGGAGAGTGAAATAATCAGCACTGTTGCCATTCAGACAGTACAAGTTAGCGGTCACCCTAGACAAGTGATTACTTGCAGGGCCTTAACCTTGCTGATTTTCACATAAACGGATTTTTAAAAATCACTTGAGATGTTCACATCAGATTAAGAATAATTCTATTAATGGTTCATGTGTGAGTGGTGTGAAAGAGAAAGAAGAGGCAGTTCTTTTTTAGCTTTTGAAATTGGTTGCAAATGCTGATAGGCTATGGCACTCAGAGGCAAAGCATCTCCACATTGAAATACATTGCTTGTATAATAACTATTTATTTGTTTGAGGTTTGCCTGAAAAGAAAACAAATGAACTGTTTATATTAAAAGAAGTGCCTGGATCAAATATTTAGGAGAATTCATATATAACTTAAATCTTAAACTATCAACTTAAGGTAATTTTTTTCATATTTTGTTTAATTATTATTTGGAAGTAAAACGGTTAGGGTTGCCGGTTCTGACAAAAATATAAAATGTCTGTTTTAAAAATTACTTAACTTTTTATTTGAAAACAGTTTTGAATTTACAGAATTATTGCACAGATAGTACAGACAGTTCTATATTCTACATCCAATTTCCTCTGTTAGTAACAGTATTGTACATTTGTCACAATCAATGAACCAATAGTAATACATTATTATTAATTAAAATCCATATTTTAATTAATAATTTCTTCAGTTTTTCCCTAATGTTCTTTTCTTGATCTGGGATGCCATCAAGGATAGCATGTCACATTTAGTCATGGCTCCTTAGACTCCTTTCGACACTTAAGTTTTCATTTCAGACAAACAACAAATACTTGTTTCCTTCTTCTTATCATTTTTCCTATCCATTTTGAATTAAAGCTCCCCTTTTCTGTCTTTCAAGATTTCCAAGTGTTTACCTCTTTGCCTGCATTTATCACACTAAGTGACAGGTTTTGGTTTAGCTCTATCTTCTCCCTATTATGCTAGAGCCATTTGAAGAGCAGTTTTCTGCTCTCCTCTCTCTGCCTTTATCATCATTGCCAAGCACAGGGTTCGACATACAATGGCTACTCAGTAATTGTTAAAATAATGATGAATTACTAGACATGTGATAACTAAGTAAACACCCCAGTACAGTGTGTGGTGAATAATAGGCATAAACAAATGTTTGCTTCTCCTTGGAGAAAAACTTAAAATGTCTTATAAATTTAAAGATAGTTCTCACTTCAGCTTAATCAATGTCAGTTCTAAGATCTTTAGTAAAGCCAGAGTGTGGATTGATTTGAAACACTAGGAATAATCAAACAAGTATTTATTGATTGTCGTCTACCAGTTGAGGACAATAAAATTAATGCAGAAGTAGTTGTAGTTATACTTTCAGTGAACAAAGATCAGGCTGGCAATAAGTCAAAGGGATTTTCTGAGGGCTTAAGCCCTTTACAAAATTGTCAAAAAGTTTTGCCTTCTTTCCTCTTCCTATTTCACCCTCTTCCCTCTGCCTTCTCCTTCCAAAACCAACATCTATCTGGAGATGATATTCCCTCTCTCACCTTCCCAGGATGCATTCTCCCTAACTGCCTAGTATCTCTGCTCCAGTACCTTCTCTCCTGTAACCATCGGTTGTCTATGTCCCCCTCCCCAACCCAAATTTATTTAATTTTTTATAATTTTATTTATTTTTGGTTGCACTGAGTCTTTGCTGCGTGCGGGGCCTTCTCTAGTTGTGGCAAGCGGGGGCTACTCTTTGTTGCCGTGCATGAGCTTCTCATTGGGATGTCTTCTCTTGTGGTGAAACCCAGGTTCTAGGCACATGAGCTTCAATAATTGGAGCATAGTAGTTGTGGCTCAGGGCGTCCTTGCCCTGAAGCATGTGGAATCTTCCTGGACCAGGAATCAAATCCGTGTCCCCTGCCGTTGGCAGGCAGATTCTTATCCACTGCACCACCAGAGAAGTTCCTAACTCAAATTTATATATATAAATCTTAACCTCCAGTGTGATAGTATTAGAAGGTGGGGCTTTGGGAGATAATTAGGTCATGAGGATAGAGCCCTTATGAATGGGATTAGTGCCCTTATGAAAAAAACCCCAAAGAACTCTCTCACTCTGTCATGTGAGACTACAACAAGGACATAAGCCATCTTCAACCCAAAAGAGGGCCCTTGCCAGGTGATCATGCTGGCACCTTGTTCTCACACTTTCAACATCCAGAATTGTAGAAGTAAATATTGTCTGAGCCACTAAATTTCAGTTTATGGTTTTGTGTGATAGCAGGCTAGGCTCACTGAGACATCATCCCTACCAAATTTTAACAAGTGCTTGATCTACTGTTGTGGAAAGAAATCAATCCAATTAACCTCCATCTATGGAAAGTAATAATAGCTTAATATAACTCACAAGAAGTCTTTGAAGAGTGGCCATAGCAAATATCACTTTATGAGGAACAGTAAGCCAGATGAATTTAAGCCCAGGGCTTAATCAAAACCAATCCTTCTCTTTCCATCCACTCCTTTCTGACTGTTACCAAACTTCATCTTCCATCTGCTGCTCTTTAGCTGTGGTCATACCTATCTCCTCCTCAAAAGTAGCCCCTCAGTGAGACTTCCCTAGTGGTCCAGTGGCTAAGAATGCATGCTCCCAATGCAGGGAGTCTGGGTTCAGTCACTAGTCAGGAAACTAGATCCCACATGCCACAACTAAAGATCCTGGGTGGTGCGGCTGAAGACCCAGCATGAACAAATAAATAAATATTTGTTTTAAAAAGTAGACCTTCA